TCATGCGCCCATTTTTCCTTTACTTATTTATTTTTGATATTTATCTTTATTTAAGTAAGATTTAAATTCAAAAACATAAAAAAAAATAAGATTTATAAAAAAAAAAGGTCATGAAGGTTAGCATGTTCCCTCTCACACATTTTGTCATCCCTAGGCTAGACATGTTTGTAATAGATGCTCGACCCATTCCATATGGTATTCAATTTGATCAATTTAACAATGAAACAATATTTTCAAATTGTTTGGGATTGATACTAGTCAAATTTATATAGATTAAAAAAGTGTATATAAGGAATTTGTTGGAACGAAAAATGTTTGACGGAGCAATGTCGCAGTGGTAGAAGGTTCACGGGTCGTGAACTTCATATTTTGAGGGTTCGTGTCATTGGGGAGTTGTTAAGCAATTATAATAAATTTTAGGTATCAATTTTCTCATTTCGAAAAATTAAGTACCTACTTGCTAAATTGGGCAATAGGTTAGGTATATCTTATGAGTTAAATAAATTATTTGGGTTAAATCCACAATTGGCCACTCAACTTTATATTTAGGGTGTGTTTGAGTCATATTATTTTGGAATAGTAGATTGATGGAGAATGTGTGATTGAAAAAGAAGGAAAAGATAATTAATGTGATGGAAAACATTATTTTATTGAAAAATGTGTGGTTGAAAATGAGTAGATGAATGAGAATGAGAATTTTAATGTGGATCAAACAGGGGTTTAGTGTTAATATGACAATCTAATTTGATTTTGTTTCATGACCACTTAACTTTATACTTAATTTTATCATGGTCACCCAATTTGATTCATCGTGACCACTCAATTTCATAAAATGCCCTCGTTTGACACCCACTAATTTCTTATTCTTATTCTCATTCTTCATTTCAACCACACATTCTTCGACTAAAATAATATTACACATAAATCAAAAACTTTTTATCACTTTTCCACCACGTATTCTCACATCAATCACTACTTTAAAATTTATATTCTTCTCAAAATTAGATTTAAACACACCCAATGTTTCACCTTGGGCATCCAACTTTTTTTTTTACCATTTTCACTAATTTTTAACAGGGTAAAATGGTAATTTTACATTATATATAAAGTAAATTTTAAAAAACAAAAATAAAAGTTTTTTTTTAAATTTTATAAAGTGGGTTTTTAAAAAATAAGTATTTATTTTATTTTCAAAACATTTTAAAAATAATTTTTTATTTTATTTTATTTTTTAAGGAATGTGTGTTTTTTTAAAATAAGTTTTATTTTATTTTAAAAATATTTTTAAATAAGTTTTTATTTTATTTTTTAAGTAACTTTTTTTAAAATAATTTTTTTAAAACTCTTTTATTGCATTATATATATATAAAATAATTTTTTAAAAACGAAAATAAAGCTTTTTTAATTTAAAAAACTTTTTTTAAAAATAAAATTTTATTTTATTTTAACAAGATTTTTTAAAATAAGTTTTTATTTTATTCTATTTTTTTTTAAGGAACAGCTTTTTAAATAAATTTTTATTTCATTTTATTTTTCTAAGTAAATTGTTTTTTAAAATAAGTTTTTATTTTATTTTTTATGTAACTTTTTTAAATAAGTTTTTATTTTATTTTTGGCTTTTAAAATTTTATTTTATTTATATCATGTTAAGTTACCGTTTTACTTCTTTTAAAATTAGTGAAAATGATGAAATGAAGTTATGTAATCATTGTAAAATATTGTATGAAATTAAGTTGTCATAGTGAAATAAAATTAAATTGGGTGGTCATGATGACACTAAGTATAAAATTGAATGGTCATGATGAAATAAAATTAAATTGAGTGGTCATGATGACATTAAATATAAAGTTGGGTGACCATTAGAATTTAATCGTAAATTATCTACACCATAAAATAAAAAAATAATAAGAATAAAAAAAAAGGAAAGAAAAAGAAAAATAAAATCGGGTGACACGGAGATCGTGCTCTCTCTCTCTCTCTCTCTCTACATACAGAGAAAGCGAAAGAAAACCATAAAGCTAACAAATCGTCAACTCTGTAATGTAAATCAAACGAAGAAATACTTAAACTCCATACATACATACCCCAAACCCTTTCCTTTCTCTCACTAAAACCACTGGATTTTGGAAGTTTTACTGTACTATTATTACCAGTTAGCAGTGCTCAGATCTGAAGTTGAAGCTCTTGACTCAATCTCGTTCCTGTTCTAACTACTCGGCCCTCTTGTCCCCTAGGTATCATGCGCTAATTTTTCCTTTACTTATTTATTTTTGATATTAATCTTTATTTAAGTAAGATTTAAATTTAAAAACGTAAAATAAAATAAGATTAAAAAAAAAAGGTCATGAAGGTTAGCGTGTTCCCTCATTCGTGAGTCACATTTTGTCATCCCTAGGGGAGACGTGTTTGTAATAAATGTGTGACCCATTCCGTATGGTATTCAATTTTATCAATTTAACAATGAAATATTTTCAAATTGTTTTGGATTGATACTAGTCTAATTTATATAGATTAAAAAAGTGTATATAAGGAATTTGTTGGAACGAAAAATGTTTGACAGAGCAATGTCGCGGTGGTAGAAGGTTCACGGGTCGTGAACTTCATATTTTGAGGGTTCGTGTAATTGGGGAGTTGTTAAGCAATTATAATAAATTTTAGGTATCAATTTTCTCATTTCGAAAAATTAAGTAGCTACTTGCTAATTGGGCAATAGGTTAGGTGTATCTTATGAGTTAAATAAATTATTTGTGTTAAATCCACGATTGGCCACTCAACTTTATATTTAGGGTGTGTTTGAGCCACATTATTTTGGAAAAATGCATTTTAGAATAGTAGATTGATGGAGAATGTGTGGTTGAAAAAGAAGGAAAAGATAATTAATGTGATGGAAAATATTATTTTATTGAAAAATGTGTGGTTAAAAATGAGTAGATGAATGAGAATGAGAATTTTAATGTGGATCAAACAGGGGTTTAGTGTTAATATGACCATCTAATTTGATTTTGTTTCATGGCTACTTAACTTTATACTTAATTTTATCATGGTCACCCATTTTGATTCACCGTGACCACTCAATTTCATAAAATGCCCTCGTTTGACATCCACTAATTTCTTATTCTCATTCTTCATTTCAACCACACATTCTTCGACTAAAATAATATTACATATAAATTAAAAACTTTTCATCACTTTTCCACCACACATTCTCACATCAATCACTATTCCAAAATTTCTATTCTCCTCAAAATTAGATTCAAACACAAAAATATTAACAAAATAGGTCACAAATTTATTTACTTAAAATTAACTTTCCACCACATATTCTCACATCAATCGTTATTCTAAAATTTATATTCTTCTCAAAATTAGATTTAAAAACACCCAATGTTTCACCTTGGGCATCCAACTTTTTTTTACCATTTTCACTAATTTTTAACAGGGTAAAATGGTAATTTTACATTATATATAAAATAAATTTTAAAGAACAAAAATAATTTTTTTTTAAATTTTATAAAGTGGGTTTTTAAAAAATAAGTATTTATTTTATTTTCAAAACATTTTAAAAATAATTTTTTATTTTATTTTATTTTTAAAGGAATGTGTGTTTTTTTTTAAATAAGTTTTATTTTTTTAAAAAAATATTTTTAAATAAGCTTTTATTTTATTTTTTAAGTAACTTTTTTTAAATAATTTTTTTAAAACTCTTTTATTGCATTATATATATGTAAAATAATTTCTTAAAAACGAAAATAAAGCTTTTTTAATTTAAAAAACTTTTTTTAATAATAAATATTTATTTTATTTTAACAAGATTTTTTAAAATAAGTTTTTATTTATTATTATTTTTTTTTTTAAGGAACAGCTTTTTAAATAAATTTTTATTTCATTTTATTTTTCTAACTTGTTTTTTAAAATAAGTTTTTATTTTATTTTTTATGTAACTTTTTTAAATAAGTTTTTATTTTATTTTTGGCTTTTAAAATTTTATTTTATTTATATAATGTTAAGTTACCGTTTTACTTCTTTTAAAATTAGTGAAAATGGTGAAATGAAGTTAAGTAATCATTGTAAAATATTGTATGAAATTAAGTAGTCATCGTGAAATAAAATTAAATTGGGTTGTCATGATGACACTAAGTATAAAGTTGAATGGTCATGATGAAATAAAATTAAATTGAGTGGTCATGATGACATTAAATATAAAGTTGGGTGTCGATTAGAATTTAACAATAAATTATCTACGCCATAAAATAAAAAAATAAAAAGAATAAAAAAAAGGAAAGAAAAAGAAAAATAAAATCGGGTGACACGGAGATCGTGCTCTCTCTCTCTCTCTCTCTCTCTCTCTCTCTCTATATACAGAGAAAGCGAAAGAAAACCATAACGCTAACAAATCGTCAACTCTGTAATGTAAATCAAACGAAGAAATACTTAAACTCCATACACACATACCCCAAACCCTTTCCTTTCTCTCACTAAAACCACTGGATTTTGGAAGTTTTACTGTACTATTATTACCAGTTAGCAGTGCTCAGATCTGAAGTTGAAGCTCTTGACTCAATCTCGTTCCTGTTCTAACTACACCCAAACTTCCGCATTGCACTTCTGTACGGTAATTGCTCTCAATTTGTTGAAATTTTGTTAATATATACTTCGCAAAGGCTGATCTTTTTATTTTTGGAAAAAAAAATTCATGCTCTATTTTTGCTTGTTCTAGCAAAATGAAATTCAACTGAGAATTATGAATTATAATAGTTTCTTAGCTTATTCTCTGTTCTGTTATTGTTATTTGTTCTCTGAGGGAAGGATTTTTGTTTAAGCGAAAATAATTTAGGGGCTTATGTTTGGTTTTAGTTTTAGTTTTCTGTGAATATGTGAGTTTTGGGAAAAACTCATGGGATTTTGTGTTTGAGGTTTGGTGAAGTTTTTTAGAACTCTCAAGTATATTGGAACGCAGAAAATAGGTATTATTGGGAGTGAAGCGTTATATTTGCACAGAAATGGCGAAATCTAGGACGCACTTTGCAGCGCAAGACGTGTTATCATCATCTCCCACAGCAATAAGGTCAAGGGAAGGGGAGGGTCCAGCCAGGTGGAACGAGTACTTAGGTCCAGAAATGGCCTCTAGATTAAATGGTGGAACTGATAGTGCTACAAGCCAGAGCTCAAGCGGGTCATCACAGAAGGGTTTGAACATGCAATGGGTGTACCAGCTCACGCAAGTAGCCGAAGGACTGATGGTGAAAATGTATAGACTAAATCAAATTTTGGATTACCCTGATTTAGTCGGTCATATCTACTCGGAAGCATTTTGGAAATCAGGCGTGTTCCCTAACCATCCCAAAATTTGTATTTTACTTACGAAGAAGTTTCCTGAACACCACAGCAAGTTACAGCTGGAACGGGTGAAGTTTTAGAATTTTTTTGGATTTATTAGTTTATTATTTAGCATTTACATTAGCTGTAATTGAGTAATACTGGTTTATGTTATTGACGATGGAAATGATTCTGAAGGTTGATAAGTTTGCTTTGGATGCTATGACTGATAGTGCAGAAGTTCATATACAAAGCTTAGAACCATGGATTCAGGTGAGAGTCACTTATCTGCTGTCATGCTTTCCATGATTGTATTAGTTCTTTCTAATAACGATATCACATTTTTGAGCTGGTAATTGTCTTGATTGATTATTGGGAATGCTTAGTTTGTTGTTGTTATTGTATTTATGGTGATCTGTGGTGGACTGCGTATTACATTGTGTTAAAAATTGTAAATTTACCTGCTCTGTAATCTACATTAATCCGACCTTTATGTCTGACACTTGCTTTTCTTCTCTCCGACACATCTTGCATAAATATCCACATTAGAAAGTAACTGATGACTTCAATTCAATATACTTTTTCTTTTGCTATCTACGATTTTCTGGAGTTGGAAAAACTTGGGGACTATGGTGGAAACAGAAATGAAAACAATCGATAATCACATCCACGTCTGCATGGACATCAACCACTACAACAAACAGTAAAAATATAAAGAAATAAATGGTTAGAGGGGGCTCATGGTTAAAGATGACATGCGGTCTGTTGTGTTTCAAAAAAAAGTCTGGATGATGCAATTTATATGAACTGCTTTAAAAAACGAGATGAAATAAGGTGCATCTACTGTTGCACAGTCAAAGTAAGATACTGTTTCACAGTCAAAGTGAGAAATCGTATATTTAACTGGCTATTCTCCTGTACCTTGCGTTTTCGTATCAATATTGTGATGCATCTACTATCTTTATCATAACTATGTTAAAACTGACTCCATTGTCTTGACAGCTGCTCCTTGACCTGATGGCATTTCGAGAACAAGCTTTGCGGCTCATATTGGATTTAAGCAGTACTGTTATTACCTTGCTGGTGAGGGATGATTGCAATTTGCAAGTTTATGAATTCGTGGAGAATCTAGAGATGAATTGTTACCATTTATAAAAATTTGGGAATGACTTGGACTCTTTGGTTTATATCCCTTAGTCCAGTGAAATCCAAGAGTGATATTATTTAGATTTTGTTTTTACGATCATTCTGATGCATGCATTAGTGAATAATGTCATCGAACAAAAAACTATTGTCACTAGCATTATTGAAACTATCAACAATGAGCAATGTTATATTCATCACATGGTATTTTTGACACTTTGGTCACTTTCTTGCAGCCCCACCAAAATTCTCTCATACTGCAAGCCTTTATGGACCTCTTTTGCTCCTTTGTTCGTGTTAATCTATTTTCTGAGAAGGCAAGCCTGCATTTATGTATTTCTCCCTTACTGTTTTTTGTCCCTAGCTGGATACTTTTGTTGATTTTATTGCTCTTGTATGCATGAAATCATGCAATATGCATTCATGATGCAATGTGGACGCCTAAGTATTATTTGACTCTACACTGTTGTCACAGGTACCACGAAAAATGATGTTGCAAACATACAATCTTTTGTATTCTATGGCAAGAAATGACCGAGATTGTGATTTTTACCACCGGTAAGATTGTATATACTTGTTAGAGTTGTAAACCTCAGTGGGCCTGTCATAAGTTTTGAACCTAATCTCTCTGTGATTTTAGAACCTTTCATTTGATGGCGTTGTGCACAATGATGATAAATATATATACTAAAGATAAATTAAGATGATCTGACAATGTAATTTGTGACATTTATGTTTTCTCTGACGTATGTATTCCTGATGGCTTAGACAAGGAAAGTCATTTTTGACTTTTTTGCCAGAAGTAACTGTAATGCCAGAGGAAATGATATGCTTCATAACTGAGTGCACTATCCTGCTCTCAGAGAGAGATGACACACTTAAGGAACCAACTATTTGTCTTTGGTTGAGGCAGTATCAACTTAATGTCGAGATGAAAGAGGATTCACATGTCAACTTTTGGGGTTATAAATGAGTTTAATAGTTAAAAGAAAATGAATTAGTATTAGGATTGTGAGAAGCACAATGATATGGATTCTGGGCCACTAAGTTATTAAATGATTGGTAAATTGACAAAGAGCGCTTAGATGTATGCAAGTAGATTGGGGTTTCTCCTCTTAATGAAGGGCGCGTTTGCAATAGATTATGCATGTTTGTGGTCAATCTATATGTCAAATCTTTAGTATAAAAAACTTATTGCATTTCACTTGCTAACTGTTCCATCTTTCTCGATAACAGATTAATTCAATTCGTTGATTCCTATGATCCACCATTAAAGGGATTACAGGAAGATCTTAATTTTGTCAGCCCTCGAATTGGAGAGGTATTACGTCTTGTCTATTTTACTAACATGATTTCACAGTGAAGTCGATTATTTTTCCTTTCACATTTTTTCCAGTACACCTTTTCTTCCAAGTGCGTAATTCGTATCTATAAACAGTTGCATGCATAATGAAATCCCTGCATTGAAGTTACTGGTGCTATATGCTACACAATTCTTGAAAAAAGTGGCATAAGATCACATTTTCTCATTATGAAGATATTGCGCTTGTTTGCCTTTCGCTATATTCTCCTTAAATTTAAAGGTCAAAGTCAAACTTTAATTTTCAACACACATTTCGTAGGACCCACAACCACTACCCACTTCTTCATCACTCATTTCTATCAAATTGAAATTTCAGCAACTTATAATGAAACCCAAACATGAATATTGTTTCATCCTCATGTAACATGTTATTATCTACCCTTTGTTGGTGTTGTTGCTCTATAGTTTTTTAATGCTCTCTCTCTTTTATGTTTTCTGTCAAAAGCAAGAATTAGGCAAGCAACTAGTTTATTCTCACATCCTTATGTCAGGTATTGGAGGCTGTGGGTCCTGTTGTATTTTTATCTACCGATACAAGGAAGCTAAGAAATGAGGGTTTTCTGAGCCCCTTTCATCCTCGATATCCTGACATACTAACCAACTCCGCACATCCAATGGTAAATTGTTTTCTTTCTTTATTTCTTTTTTTTTTTAATTTTTAAGTTGATGAATCTAACCTAATAATTACTGACCTAAGACAAAATCTTTCTCTGTAAAGGAAGTTATGTCAGTCATTTTTCTCTCTTCCGGTCATTATTTTAGATTTAATTTATCCACCTCATTTGCAGAGGGCTCAAGACTTGGCAAATGTTACTTGCTATAGAGAATGGGTGTTATTTGGATATCTTGTGTGCCCTGATGAGCTTCTTAGGGTCACAAGCATCGACATTGCTTTGGTATATTGCAGGCCATCCTTTTTTTCTTCTGTTTCCATAAAGATTTGAAATTTTACATTTGACTATGTTGGAAAAGATACATCACAAAAAAGAATATTTTATTGAATTGAATAGTGGTGCATAATATGATTTACCTTGGAGCTGCAATATATTGGTTTACATATTTAGGAAAATAGGACAGAATAAGACGTATGCACTTGAGAATTTGGGCCTGGGGTGGGTGAAATTGAATAATCCTTTTCTAGTTGTTATAATATTTTTCTGCCTGCTTGGCTATATATCTATTTACCACTAATGAATTCCAATACTTCTTTCTTGGAATGCCTTTCAGGTTGTGCTGAAGGAAAACCTAGTTCTTACATTATTTAGGGATGAGGTGAGTTATTTATGTCAATCACTCTAAATGAAACTTGCGTTTCTTCATTTTCTTCTGGCATATTCATTTTATTGCAAAAAAGGAAATAGTGAATATCTTTAATGTCCAAAAAGTATGTAGATCTCTCAGAAATTGACTGAATTTTGTTGGTACCCACTACCCACTGTGTATATTTTCGAAAAGTTTGTCCAATTATCTAAACAGGCATGGTGAGATGGAAGTTATACAAAGTGAATAGCAAGAAGCTAAGCCTTATGCCCAATAAGTGCTGAATTCTCAAAAAAACTTTTCTAAAGAAAAGTAACTTTAACTTTCAAATTGGATTCCTGAACTCTTCTGTAATTACATTACATTCGAATGTCTTCTTACCATCAATTCTGGTATGTCTAGATCTTCAGCTAGCCAATGCTGTTCCCTGCAGTCCTTTCTTTGAAAAAGGTATAAAATGTAGAATCCACTCCAGGAAGGAACGCTATAGTGTGGCAATCAATAAGTTCTGTGTTACACAACCTTACCCTTGTACTGACTTGCCTGGCGGCAGGGCTAAGAGAGGATGATAAAATACTTTAATGCATATTGAACAAATATTTTTTGACTGAAACCAAAGACCTGGAACTGCGGTCACTAACTCAAGTAAAGTCATGTCGTTCTTGGAAGAACCACAAAGGCACAAAATTGACACATAAAACTGCGGGCTCTTGTAATTAACCAATGTACAGAAAAGTTTAAAACTCTATGATAACAATTCTTGTACATTAATATATGACTTCAATTATCCATTATACGTAATATAATAAATATAATAAAGATGTTAAGTGAGTAACAGGGTAGCATGTACATTGATGTGATATATCTTTTCCTCTTCATAATATGAACTAATATATCATTGTCTCATGTTAAATGTGCAGTATATATTATTGCATGAGGATTATCAGTTGTATGTTTTGCCACGGATATTGGAATCAAAGAAGATGGCGAAGTATGGACGGACAAAGCAAAAGGAAGCAGATCTGGAGTATAGTGTTGCAAAGCAGGTGGAGAGAATGATAAGGTATTAATAGATTGGATACTCAATGGAGATTTATATTCAGTACTTTTGCTTGTCGCATATGTCATCTAAATAGGGAACCCATAATAATGCAATATGAATATATAGTACACGAAAAAACAAGATGTCGACCATTATATAATTATGGAAAACCAGGCAACATTTTCAACATGCAGGTATAATTATTCCAGGGATGTATGACTTACCAAAAAGACGATGCGTCAGCAACTCTCAAGAAAATAAATAGGGATTGAGTAACTTGGATGTGGTCATCCTTGCCTCTCTTTAGAGCACCGATGTTCAATAATGAGATGGATGTTCATTCTCTGAAAAAGAAAGATGCGTATTAGAAGATTCTTAAAATGTCACTTGGTGGATAGTTGAATCGTGCAATGGAGTCTCTAAAATTGATTGCACTTCAGAAATAGGAGAGAGATTTGAGTATCTCAGGAGCAGAAGTTGCACTATCAGCATTCTTAAATGATTGCGGCTTTGGAAATAGGAGAGAGAGACTGGAGTATCTCAGGAACAGAAGTTGCACTATCAGTATTCTCTGGCATTTAATCCAGATACGTTCCTGGGTTGCTGAAACCAGTTATCCTAATGAAATACGGCACGACATTCTTATACCTTACATATAGCCGGCAAATATTGCTGTCTGAAATTATAAAGAGGGGGAAGATTTGTACGATATTTTTCTGATCCCATTTTTTACAATTTCATGAAATTAACCATGTCTATATTGGTTTTATTTCCGTGGATCTAAATGACATGGTGGATGTTGTATGTTTGTTTCAGAATCTAGGCTCCACAAGGCTGAGTGTTCTACTTTCTGTCTCATTTGTTTCTACCTTTTTTATTTTATTTCCTCACACTGCTAATATACTCGAGGAAGTATTTTTGTTTTGTTGGTTATCTCTATTCCCATTGACTGTTTCTGTTTGTGCATTTGAAACTTCAAATTTGATAAAAAATGTCCATCAACTTATTTTGGACATCTCTGCCCTTTTCCTCTGATATTTGTAGGACGATAATCAGTCTTGGTAATGTGTCTATTTGATGACTGCAGTGAAGTTTACGAGCAAGCATTATTTTCATGTGATGCCATACACCATGAAAGGAGAATTTTACTGAAGCAAGAGATTGGAAGGATGGTGCTCTTCTTCACTGATCAGCCAAGTTTAATAGCTCCAAACATTCAGGTATATTGTGTGCGTTGCCTGAATTCTGTTTAACCAAATCCTATTTGAACAAGAGACTATCCCGGTGCATGTTCACCAGGCTGGTTTTTAAGCTCGGTCAGGGACACCTAATGAAGGTAGTTACGGGCAATAACAATGCACCAACCTTACCATATTGAAAAATCAACCACTAGGAGAATATATATCTGCATGTGTTATCTGAATTTGATTGAGAAAAAAATGTTCAGAATGATGCCTTAAGGGTAAGGATATTGGAAAACCTGTATAGAATTTGAACATCTGCTTCTGGACCAGAATAGTTCTGAAGATAGCAGTAAACAGGAACCGCAGGGTTTGCAGTGCCAAGTTATCGACTTAAGAATAATTCCTCCATTTCCTTTTCCTTAACGGATTAGGGTTCTTCCATGGTGAAGATATATGATCAGGATCCATTATTTTTTGTGAGCTGCATTTAATTTTGTTCATAATAGTGGACGCCTATCATTTGTTTAGACAGCTGCTGGTTAACCAACTGGCTGTTTTATAATAATGGTGCCTACCATGCTCATCTCTTGACTCCATGCCTAATCATTTTAATTGGCTTAGGCTATCGGCCTTGAAATATCACGATTTTACGTATCTTAGCACTAGCAATTTCATGCCCACTGTTCTTCATGTAGCCAAGTCCAAATTTATAGGGAACAAGGCTTAGACTGTGGTTGTGGTTTCTTCAGAAAAAAAAAACCAAGAAAAAAAATAACTTATGGCCTACTCGCTCGAGCTGGACCATACTTCACTTTTAATACGTGTAAAGTTTTGTGCTGTCTAGTATATCATGTTATGGTGTATATATGGTTCAGTTTGGCTCGCTCTCCACTATTCAGACCCAGAAAGTTCTTCAATTCAGTTAAATTCATATTAGAGAGTAGACTGTGCATATTGATCTTTTTTTTTTTTGATAGATAATCAGAAAATTTTATTAATCAATGAAGAATACATAAGAAGTGTATTATTAGTTTAAATAAGAAAGAAAAGATATGAAGTTAGGCAGCCCTCTATAGGATTGCTAGTTGCTGCATTAAACCAAGTATACAAAGTCAGATAAAATAATTCTTTAAATTGTTCCGTTGCATATTGATCTATTATTAACATTTATTAAATGTGGTTGTTCCAAGTTTGGATGATTACAAATTGGGAGCATGGGACTGTGTTCACTAATTCATTACTAAAGTTAGATGTCAATAGTTGAAACATTTGGATTCATCCTCTATGGTGACGTACTGAATCCATTCCGATGCTTGGCCGGGTTATATATATTCTGCGAAGGAGTGAGCATTAAGAAAAGAGAGAAGAGCAAGGAAATGGGGTTCCCGTCTCTTGTTAGATACCAATATATGTTAAGAGTGACAAAGTTCAATTAAGGTTGATCCGCCTTCGTGGTTTGCTTATGATTATATAGACAGATTAGTAACTTTAATCCTCTTTGGTGTTTCTGCAGATGGTATTTTCGGCCTTGGCCTTTGCACAGAGTGAGGTATTGTGGTATTTCCAGCACGTCGGAATAGCTTCATCAAAATCAAAAGCAGCCCGAGTTGTTCCAGTAGAAATTGTAAGGAAATTATATATTTTAAGTGGGTTAGTGGAATAAAACTTTGTAGTATGTATTATATCTCTTAGATATAGAGCATATCACATCAAAATGCAACCCTTTTAGATGTTTGATTCATGGATGCAGGACGCAAATGATCCAACTATTGGGTTCTTATTGGATGGAATGGACCATCTTTGTTGTCTTGTGCGGAAGTACATTGCAGGTCAGATACCCTTACTAAAGCCCCCC